AGATGACCAGAAGTTGACATGAGCAGAAACTAGGACGACTCAAATCTTGGATGACCTAAGGCCAGGATGATTAAAATGACCTAAGGCTAGGATGATCCGAAGCAAGGTCAACCATAAGACTAGAAGAATTATTGTCAGGACGACCCGAAGCCTAGATGATCTAATATAACTGAGCTAAAGTCTTATAAATGTAAAATTCTTAAAATAACATGCGCAACCCTCATTAAGGCAATGTTATAAATAAAATATCTTCATATTTTACTCCATCTCCTATAAATAGAGAATTATTTTATGTAAAAAGTTCTTCTGGGCCCTCAATCTCTTCTCATGTATTCATAAGGATTTGATTATATAAATATGTCCAGAAAACTAGGATTATTTCAGTTTGCCTCACATGAGCAAGTCACTATGCACTCCCCCCTTTGTCTCTGCCCCCCATCTCTCACATTGCTAATGTTATAATAACTTGAGGTGATATTTATGAATAAATCAGAATTCAACATCTTAAAAGGTGTGGTGAGCATAGATCATGTAATCAATACAAAGAGGAGTAAAACAAAGAGAAGAATCAAAGATTATGTTAGTCGTGCCAGCTCCCAATCAACGCAATACGAACAACCAGCAGCTTGATGCACAATCTGACCTACAATCAGAGAACTTTTAATGTTTTGTGCAATAGATGGTAAAAAAATTAACTCAAGGAATTCATGCTCTTAGATGTCTTACTAACAGTTGGGAAACTTAAACCTGAGAAATAAGATCAAAAGTGAAGCTAAGAAGTTTGATAGGTGGAATGCACCAAGAACTAGCCTACAATGGTTAATGTCTCCAAACTTAAATTGGAGAAGGCACTGCAAGTAATTCTTGCCAAGTAGCGATAAGCTCCATGAAGATACTAAACAAATCACCTTATAAGTGAGTCCCGATGGTTACTCCAAAGAAGCAATGATAATATATTATCAATAATCCCAAGGGTAGTCCATTCGTGGCAGAGATCCAACTAAGCAGTTGAGACTCAGGATGTGTAAGATGGGAGTCAGGCATAAACACCCTAAAAGGTTGTCCGATTAGTAGAAAAAGGCTTAGAATGATTGACAACAACACATGACATTGGATTTTCATTTAATACCAAATATCGATCCATCAGTCATCATAAGTCAAGAGTTTGTCACAAGAAAAGTAAAACACCTAGAAAAAGGTAAAACAAAAAACAAAGGTAAAAATTGACGGAGTACTTCACTTTATTTTATGGTTGAAAATTTTACATAGAATTTACTATATAATGATTAACAAATGCTCTAAAAGAAAATAATGTTCTAAGTTACAAATAATGTTGATAGTTTGCTAGATTAACCAAATGACAAATACCAACCAATTTAGATGCTTGAAAAGCCTAGCTGATCGAGCTACACCTACCAACTTGAAGACCTTGAGAGAGCACTTCAGATTCATAAAAAATGAAGGAAGTTTGATTTTTTGATTGTCAACTAAGAGAAAATGTGTGATGACATTATTTATATTAAAATTCTCTTATTCTTATCACAACTTTGCCTTTAAGCAGTAAGAAAGCCCAAGAACTAAAATATGTACATAAGAATGTGCTAAACTAAATCTCTTTGCAGAACGACCCGAAGCCTGAACTACACTCAACCCCAGAAAGACCAGAGGCAAGGATGACTGGACCGAGGGCCAGAACGACTCAAGGCTAGAATGATCCAAAGCCTTAACAACCCAAAGAATGGATGACCTGAGACCATGAAGATTTGAAGACTTGACAACCTGAGATAAGGAGACTCCAAGCTTGAACGACCTAATATAGCCGAGTATAAGGCTTATACATGTAAAATACCTAAAATAATCTCTTGTTAAAATAGGGTTATAAATATAATACCTTTATATTGTGCTCCATTCCCTATAAATAGGGAAGCATTTTATGTAAGTGGTACTTTTGGGCCATTTTTCTTCTCATATATTCACAAAAATTTGATTATATAAAAAGAGGCACAAGAGCCCGGGAATACCCTTGTTTTCATAGTAGGGCAAGTCGTTGTGCTCTCCTCCTCGTTTTGTCTCTACCCCCCCTCTCTTTTCTAATGCTATAATTTCTTCAGCTATAATTCACAGGCAAAAAATTTTGTTATATATATATATACATATACATGAATATATGGACAAAAATACTGATGATCTTTGTTTCAAAACTCTAAAGCTTTCCATGGAGACCAACCTTAGCAAACTTTGGATCAAATTAAGAGCTAATTTCCTGCACCATGGATACTTGGTTAATTCCCACCCTTCATATTGTACCCCACAAATCAGTGATTTTTTGCTTTAAAAGGAGTTACTTAATGTTAGACAAATGGCGGGGGATTTTATTGTGTGGGACATAGGGAAAGGCAATTTGTTTTAAAGCTTGATGATTGGTCCCTTTTGGGGCCACTAAAGGGTTACCATCAAGATGATTTTGTGGAGAACCTGAAAGTCTCTCAACTCTAGTCTGCTAGTTGCTAGAACCAATAAAAGCTTGAGAAGGCAATTATTATGGATATTACTAAGAATGTTATGGATATTCCTGTGGACTCTAAAAGAGTTGATCTATTAAGAAAAAAAATGAACATGAATGGCACTCATTCCAAGAGTATTGCCCAATATTTACATCAACACCCAATTGATATCAATGAGGAGAAAATATGGAACAAACTTCTCAAACCTTCACAGTCCTTTTTCAGCTATCGATTACTTTATGAATGTTTTATACATTGATGATATTTTAAAATTAAAATGGCTTAAAATGCCATCCAACTGTTTAATTTATGGTCAAGCTGAAGAAACCCTTACCTCTTTTCTTCATGCAGTTTTTCTTCTTATATTAAAAGTGTTGTATCTGAAATGTTCAGCATTTTCTATTGTCAACAGTTTTGCTTCTTTGAACCCATGCTTGTTGAACTAGTGCACTGATTAATCCCAAAAATAGATTAAGAATATTATACCTTACATTTGCTGCTGGTTTATCTGGATTGAAAGAAATAGGAGGAAATAATTGGAGAAATCTTATGCTAATTATCATGTTCTATTTAATATTAAATATTTCAAATCAAAAGTTGTTCTATTGAACAAAGCTGGTAATCTCTCTATTCCTGAGGTCCATAGTGGTACCAGAGTTGTTAAGCTAGTTTAGTCGAAAGATCATGATTTTCCTTACCTAAAAGCTAATGTAGATAGGAGCTTTAAACAATCAAAGGCTGCATAGGGAGTGTGTTCAGGAACCACACATGAGCTTGCTTATTTTGCTTTACATCTCCTTGTCGAATATTGATGCTTCCTACTTTAAATTGGTTGTTGTCTTGTACTGTTTGGTCATTACTAAGGAGCTAAAGATGTGGAACCTACAGACTGAGGTGGACTCCTTAAATATCTATCAATGTTGTGTTGGTAGTATTGTTTGCGCTGGCAGAATCTGATTCTCTCGAAGAAAATTCAACATCTTACCCCTTTTTTCAACCTTAGATTGTCTCATACCTATAGAGAAGCTAACAAACCTATTGAGTATCTTGCTAAACTAGCAACTTTACCCTCTATTGGTTGGGTAAGTAGCACATTTGATTTACTTATATTGGGGAACATGGTGAACCTTCCTTTTGTTTGAGTTGGTCATTAGATCCTTTGTACTTGAAGTACTCATCTCAACACACTTTTGTTGCCAATATATATATATATATATATA